CGCCACTTCCGTGAGGAGGATTTCCAGAAGGTGGTGGAGTTCATCGACGAGGGCATCGCGCTGGCCTTGGACGTCAAGAGCAAAACCAGTGAGTGACTGGGGAGGGGTCCCATCTCCCCCCAGTTTCCCTTTTCCTGGGTGCCCTTCAACCYTGATGCCATCCCCACTCCCCAGACTGGTGCCAGGTTATCCCAGAGGGGTCAGGGCTGTTTTGGGGTCCCTCCCTCCTCATCTGTGCCCCCCAAACCCTCCAGGTAAACTCCAGGATTTCAAGACTTTCCTGCTGCAGGACCAGGAGACKCAGCGGCGCCTGAGCGACCTCCGCCAGCGCGTCGAGACTTTCGCTCGTGCCTTCCCCATGCCCGGTTTCAGCGACCACTGAAGAGGGGGACGCTCCCCCTGCCGGGTTGGGGTCACTGCGGGGTGGGCTGGGAGAGGCTGAGAGCCACCCCCTGCCTTCCCCCACTCCCCTTGTCCCCCTTTGGATGGGGGTGTCACACCCATCCTGCTCAGTGTTAGGGTACAGAGACCCCCACCCCAATCCCAAACCTGCTTGGGGTGGGGGGCACCGCTTTGTTCCAGCCTCATCTTGCACTTTTCTATRGGGAGGGGTTGCTAATAAAATTTGGGGGGCAGAGCCTTGAGGTGCTGTGGGTGCTGTGCTGTGGGTGTTGTGCTCCTCAGTGTCCCCTTGGGGGGTTTTGTGCCTCAGTGTCCCCATCCTGCTGCTTCACCCGGTGGGCTCTGAGGGCAGGGGGTGATGCTGAGCCCCAGAATATGTGGGGTACAGTGGGATGGGGATAATTTTGGATCCTTGCCCCCACTTTATGGGCACCAGCTGGACCCTGCACGGTGTCACGTACTCCAGTGGGGTTCACACACATCCAGACCATCGCTCACATGTGTGGCTGTGACCCCTCCACCCCTCCCATCCCTTCCCCTCTCCCGAGGGGCCCCTGGAGGGGACCCTGGAGCGTGGGAGAGCGGAAACGCAGCACCCAGGGGTTTGTCCTGCATCCCCCAGGATGTGAACCCCCCCCTGCCCCAGCTTTTCCCAGAGGGGTGATAACATCTCCTGCCTTAATGGCTCTGGGAAACCACAAAAAAAATCCAGTTTACTGCTCCCCCTCTGTCATTTATTATTGTCCTGAATTCCATGCAGGCACTGGATGAGGGTGGGGGGTGCAGGGGAACCCACAGGGATGTGGTTTTTTGTGGGGTGGGACACATCCACGCGGTTTGGGGGTGCTGGGGGAGCAGTGGGATCTGTGTGCGGTGGCTGTGGTGGCGCTGGGGAGTCCACGAGGGGGTTTTTGGGGACATCCCAGAGGTGGCTCAGAAGCTGGGACGCTCCTTCTTGAGGTTCTTGTAATCGGTGGAAACTGCCAGAAACTGGAGAAGGGAGGGAGCTGAGGGCGGGGGCTGTGGGGCCCCTTCCCCAAATCCAAGCGCGAGGAACTGGGGGGTTCCACTCCCTTTTCCCCTTCCTGAGCAAAATGCAGTGTTTTGCCCCAAATGAGGCTGCCCCCACCTCCCCACACTCCCAGCCTCCCAGTTCACCCAGTGCTCACTTTATACTGGTCCGTRGGGCTCAGCTTATTCCAGGGTTCAGGGTTATTCTTCCGGTCCCAGCTGTGAGGGGTGACAGTGACATCACCTGTACGGAGTTGGGGACAGACCCCCCACCCCATTGTACCCCCCCAGGGTGCCCCCAGCCCCTCCACCACCATCCCCAGTCCCCYTTGAATCCATCCCAAACTGGACACATCCCGTGCTGTCCCAGGCCAGCAGAACCATGGGATGGGGTCCCTGGAGAGGGCAGCTCATGTTGCCCCCCCCTTCTTCCATCCCCCACATTCTCTGGTGCTGGCCAAGAGCAGAATTTTCCATCTGGGAAGAAGAKGTTTGTGTCCGTGTTTGGGGGATGGAAAAGGGGACGTGCTGCAAACACAGCCCCTCACCCCGGAGCTGTTTAATGAAATTCATGTTTTTAGGGGGTGGGGGGCTGTTATTCCACCCCAAAACGCCCCCCACTAAAGCRAGGTGTCTGGATTTGCTGAGCTCAGCTGGCGCTGGGTTAAATCCAGGAGTGGTTTTATGTTTTTACTGGGAGCAAATGATGATGAACGAGGTGTGGGGCAGTGGGGGCTGCGGGGATGTGGGAAAAATCCAGCCTGGTCACCCCAGCGTGTGGAGCTGTGCCGCCCAACCATCCTCGGGATTCCACGATCCTTTTTCCATCTATCTGTCCGTCTGTCCATCCAATTATCCATCCCTACTCACCTTGTTATTTCTTCATTCTTCCCTGCTGGTTCTGTCCATCCCTCCCTCCTCCAGCCATCCATCTGACCATTCCCTGCTCACTCCCAC